ACATTGTTTGAAATGAGTAGAATGAAAAAGGCATCAGTCGAGGGTTAAGTGAGTTGGCCTCGACGAGCGTTACTTGTATTAAATATTTGAAATTTGCTTTGTTATATTATTGATGAGCTTCATGTTATTTTATATACGAAAAAATAAACTTAGTGCTGACTTCAAGTCAGAATATTCGTATTTGTATTTGATTGATGTAACTCCGAAAATTTTCTTTTCATATCTCCGACTCCGTTGGAGTCGGAGTTGGGTCTCGGAATGTGATGCAGGGCCCTACTCTGAAGGGATTCGGCCCGGGTTCTGAGGACATTCAGAGGTATTGGATATTTTGAAGTACCAGGGTAAATCGTAAAAGTTATGATGGTGGGAGGTCGAAGGCTAAACAGCGATATTTCAATAGTCGCGAGAGTTTCTAGTATGGGAGGGGAACATACAATATCGTGTTGTGATGCTGGTGGGTTACTCTATCGCTGCTTTCACCTACGTGTCGCTTCGTTTCTAGCGGAGTTTTCTTTGTGTACCATTTTGCGAATATCGATTCCTTGGCTGTTGTCTTTTCTGGAATTTCTGAATGACAAGCAGTATCGCCGAGGTACTGGATTTGTATTTGATCAATACATACGGTTTTCACTGAATTTTCATATGCAACCGTTTATTATGAATTAAAAGAGGAGTATTCAATTCATCAAAACAAAACTATCAAATATATTTAATAAATTGATTAGAAGAAAATATTCACGAAAGACGCAAAAGAATATTAACAAAATTTTGAAAAAATTTCAACAGTATTTTTTCCTTGATGAGGTATAAGAATGTCTAATTGTGTATCATTATTTAAATCACTAGTAGCAAGTGCACTTGGTAAAGATCCGTAGCCTGTTGAATATACATCGACAGAACTAAATGTACCATTTTGATACCCATATAGTATGGCAATATTATTAGTTCCATCATTGCTAACAATTATATCCAATTTATTGTCTTTATTTAAATCACCTATAACTACAGCCGACATATGAACACTAATACCAATTGAATAGGATGTATAACTAGTAAAATATCCATTACCAATACCTAAAAATACAATAATCAAATTCGTATTATGACCAGCAATGATTATATCCTGCCATCCATCATTATTCAAATCAGCACTAGCAATTGCATGAGGAAAATAATCCGACGTAATTAAATAAGTTTTTTGTTCTTCAAATGATCCATTAGTCAATCCAAACAGTATACCAATATTGTTAGTGCCATAATTTGCAACAATAATATCAAAATTATAATCATTGTTCAAATCACTAAGAATTGTCGAATGTGGATAAGAACTATCTCCAGTGTCATATGTTATTTGATTTCGAAAAGGTTCGCAACAATATCCTAAAAATATACTTATATCAGATGTACCACTATTGGCAACAGCTACATCGAGAAGTTTATCATTATTAAAATCAGCCAGAATTAAAGATAGTGCTAAAGAACCATCACGAATCCAATAAGATACTTTTTCTCCAAAAATTCCATTACCAAATCCCAGAAAAATATCAATTGTATTACCATAATAGGTAACAGCAGCAAGGTCTATTTGATAATCATTATTGAAATCACCAGCTAAAACTGCATACGGACATGTGCCAGCACCTGTTGAGTATTTTGCTTGATTACTAAATGTTCCATTACCAAATCCAAGAAAGATTCCGATATTACTATCATCATAATTAGCAATAGCAATATCCAAATATTTGTCATTATTAAAATAATTTAAAGTAACAAAACATGGACCATAATTTGTTCCTGTTTTATATGTAATAGGAGAAGTAAATGTTCCATTTCCTAATCCTAAAAAAATTGCAATTGTTACATCACCATAATTAGCTACAACAATATCTGAGTAATTATCATTATTCAAATCACCAATTGCTATAGAATATGGTTTAGAGGAAAAATCCATTGAATAAACTATTTGATTAGTAAATGTTCCGTTACCTAATCCAAAAAAGATTCCAAAACTTCCCATACCATTATTAGCAACTACAATATCAAGTCGTTCATCGTTGTTTAAGTCATTTAAAACTACAAAATATGGATTAGAACTAATGCCTGTTGAATAGACCATCTGTTGAGCAAAACTTCCATTACTATATCCAAATAAAATTCCAATACTATCCGAACCCGAATTAGAAACGACAATATCTAAATGATTATCGTTATTTAAATCACCAATAGCAATTGATCGCGGAATAGAACCTGTAGAGTAGTTTGTTAGATTAGTAAATGTTCCATTCTCCGTACCAAAAAAGATTCCAATATTATTTGTAACATAATTAGCAGCAACAATATCTGTGTAATTATCATGATTAAAATCGGCAGCATTAATAAAATATGGTCCTGTAATTGATCCTGTTGAATACATAATTGGATTTTTCAATAATGTATATGTATCAGCAAGAAACACACCAATATAATTTACATTAGAATTTGCAACAACGATGTCTGATAGATTATCATGATTTAAATCAGCAACAGTTACTGATAAAGGAAAAGCATTAGTACCTGTAGAATATGTAAATTGATTTGAAAATGTTCGATTACCAAATCCAAGAAATATATCAATCGTACTACTAGCATAATTTGCGACAACGATATCTAACCAATTATCTTTATTAAAATGACCTGTAGCGATTGAAATTGGATTTGAATTTGAACCAGTAGAATATATTCTTTGATTTTCAAAATTTCCTGTATTTGATTGAGTTCGTATATCAATAGTATTTGTACCAAAATTAGCAACAGCAACATCAGGTCTTTTATCATTATCAAAATCTCCCACAGCAACTGACATTGGACGAGCAGCAGATCCTGTTGAATATACTCTTTGATCCATTAAAGCTCCATTATCATAACTTAGATATATACCAGCATTATTTTTATTTGTATTGGCTATTATAAGATCTGATCGATGATCGTTATTCAAATCTCCTGTAATAACACATGATGGACGAGAATCATCTGGAAGCGAATATATAATTTGATCGTGGAATGTTCCATTACCTAATCCAAGAAAAATACTTATCTTACTAACATCACGATTAGCAGCTACAATATCGAAACAATCATCATTATTAAAATCACCAATATCCACTGAATATGGAGTATAATATGAACCTGTTTTGTATGTAACTACAGTAGCAAATTTTCTATTACCTATTCCAAATAATATACCAACAGCATCACTATGACGATTAGCAACGACAATATCTAATAGGCCATCTTTATTTAAATCATTGACAGCAATTGAATACGGTCGCGCAAAAAATCCTGTTGAATATTCTATTTGTTGAGTAAATGTTCCATTACCGAATCCATAAAAAATTCCCGCAGTATTAACAACAGAATTGGCAACAACAATATCAACATTTTTATCATTATCAAAATCACCAACATTGATCGCAATTGGACCAGAAAATATTCCTGTTGAATATGATATTTGGTTAGAAAATATTTCATACCCTAATCCAAAAAATATTCCAATATTGTCTCCATAATAATTTGTAACAGCAATATCTAACCATTGATCATTATTTAAATTACCAATAACTACTGAAGATGTACCAGTATTTGTACCCGTTGAGTATGTTGTTGCATTAGCAAATATTGTATTACCACGATTAAATAGAATTCCCATTGTACTACTATCAAAATTAGCAGTAACAATATCTAATTGATTATCATTATTCATGTCATTGACAGCAACAGAATATGGACCAGACAGTGTACCTGATGAATATGTAATTTGTTTAGTAAAATTTCCATCACCTAATCCAAGAAATACTCCAACATTATGTGATTTATAATTTGCAATGACAAAATCAAGATAAGTGTCATTATTAAAATCAGCAAGAGCAATGGATCTTGGATTTAAATCTGTTTCATATGTAATTTGATTTTGAAAAGCACCAGGATCATATCCAAGAAATACACCAATATTGTTTGTACCATTATTAACAACAAGTAAATCCGATCGATTATCTCTATTAAAATCTTCTACAATAATTGAAAATGGATATGATTCATATCCAGTCATATAAGAATTGGAATTTCTAAAACTTCCATTACCAAAACCAAGGAAAATTTTTATCATATTATTGTTTGATAATGAGACAGCAATGTCCAATTCGGCATCATTATTAAAATCACTCATAACCATATGTATAGGTCCATTAACACCAACAGGAATTAAATCATTATTTTTAAATGTTCCATCTTTATTGCCAAGGAAAATACCGATATTGTTTGTATCGAAATAGGCTACTATAATATCTAAATATTTATCATTATTAAAATCAGCAACAACAAGAGAATATGGATGCAATTCAGGATAAGTAGAAAAGATAATTTGATTGGAAAAATTTCCATTACCATATCCAAAAAAGATTCCAATTGTATTAGTACCATGATTAGCAACGATAATATCGAGCCATGTATCATCATTTAAATCAACAATGACAACATAATATGGGATAGAATCATAACCTGTGGAATAACTAATTGATCTTTCAAAATTAACATTATTCGTTCCAAGATATATATCTAATGTATTAGTTCCATAATTGATTACAATAATGTCTGAATGATTATCATGATTGATGTCACTTACGGTAACATAGAATGGTTGTGCTACTCCTGTAAAATAAGATACATGCTTGGTAAAATTTCCATGACCATTACCAAGCAAAATGTCTAGAGTGTGACTATAAAAATTGGCAACGACAACATCTAAATGGTTGTCTTTGTTAAAATCGCTAACGGCTAGAGAACGTGGATAACTACTAGTTTCCATTGAATGAAAATATGGGCTCATAAACCCACCAATGCCATCTCCGATAAATATTCCAATATTATTAATAGCAGAGTTGCTTGCAATAACATCTAATATTTTGTCATTATTAAAATCGCCAAAAACAATTGATATCGGACGAGAATTTATACTATCAGAATTCGTTATGATCGTTTTAAATGTAAATAAACAGATCGGATCTATAAGAGATAATATATATGTATTACAACTAGTTTTTATAGTAAAATCATCACAAACTTGGTGGTTTATATATATTATAAATAACAATTACTACACCAATTGTTATAGATATGATGACAAATAGCGTTGAAATCAATATTCGTTTAAAATGATTTAGATAATGTTTAATCAAAAATATGCTGAGAAGAATAGATTTGAACTGTAATTACAATAAATAGTAGAAATATTTACCTATTGAATGATGATCTAGTATCATTTAACGTTGCTAAACCTCGAGGTGAATTTAAACTACGTTTATAAATTGTTGAAATATGTTCTTCAACTGGAATAATTTCTTTGACCGTAGCCATTGAATCTAATGAAAATTGAAAGAAAAAAGAGATTGTTGTTTTCTTATTACGCATGAGCAAATATCAAACGATTAGAGTAACAAAAACTGATTTTTTTTGCGCATTTAGTAATATGTTTTTTGTGTGTTTTATATCAATATGAGTAACACGTGATCAATGACTTGCGCGACTAAATACCAATAACTATATTTCATTTACTTTGGTATACTTGATAAACGTTGCTCGAAAGTATTATTTATTTCTTTGTATTTTTCATATGCATTTTGATCATATTTCTTAGGTGTATTCAAAAGTAAATTTGATTTATTCTTTTGAATATTAGTTTAAGGATTTTTGGTTCTAATATCATTCGTTAGTGAATAGAACGATGTTAATTAAAATCGTAGAGATTTTATTGATATTTTTTCTTGAATTTCAGTTTTGTTTCGTTGAATCGATTCAATTCTTTGATGAATATGAAATTTTTATCTATGACACATAGAAAAAAGTCTAAACGAAATATAACAGTGAGAGATACAGTGCTAGATTATCAAATAATCCAATTTTCTGAAGTGTAGTAATATATCAATAATGATTACATTGTGTGATTAAATATATCACAACATTTCATCGTCAGATATCAAAATGAAACCATAGTAGAATAAAGTGTCATAGGATATTCACATTGAATATTAATCTAGTGCTGATAGAATATATTATTAAATTTTTACTCTAAAATATTTTTTTTAAATAAAATACAAATTGCAGTCAAGATTAAAGCAGAACCAGTACTGTCACATTGTCTACTTTTAGCAGAAAAATTCTGCTTTTTCAAATTATAAAATATTGATATTTTTAGTCATTAGTGCACACCTGAATGATCTTTTGTCGAATTTCGAAAACAGACTTTTATCAACAATCATTTACATCACTATCTTGTCATATTTCAATTCCAATCATTTATGTACTGTATACTTAAATTGAACGAGTTTACTTTATTTTTCGTGCTAAAGATAAAACTTCAGTGAGTAGTTTTGAGAAAATTACACATCGCATCACCTCGTTATTCGGAATTCATATAGCTGATGATCGTTGTCAGTCATGCAAGAATAAAAATCAGAAAAAAAATGCGTATTATAGAGTTACGCATGACGAGATTCAAGTGAAGCAAGTTTTATACAGAGCATTTATTTCTTTGTCGCTTCCATTCGTAATAAAACGTTCAACTTTCGCGTCACCCTAAAAAAAATTTCCGTTTCAGAAATTCCGTAACGACTGACATTTTTTTCAAATAACTTCACTCTACATAGAGTAGAATAAATGAACTTTATACCATTATTAGATCTCAATAACCTGTAAATACAATAAAAGTTTTGGAAAGTTTGCACTTATTAGTGACCAGATACGAACATGCCATTTTGATAATTTGAAATTTTGTAACGCTGGTTATGCCGATAATAGAAAAAATTGCTTTCAGAGTGAGAGTCCAGGTATGAAAAATTAATTCACACATTGGTACTAAACTAGAGATTTAAGTCATGCGATTGAGTCGCTACTACAGATAATTATGTGAATATCGGATTTTCATATGAAATTTTTGTACAAAAATTTTAGAGAAAGTAACTGAAAAATGCTAATTCTTACCGCCAACCGAGACAATGACTTGCATGACTACACTGTACCCTTAAAAACAAGTAACACTCACCGAGGCCGACTCGCTAAGCCCTCGACTGATTCACTTTTAACTCGACTCTTGTTATAAGACCCTTTCAAAAGATGTATCAATGCACTGATCTCGCAGTCGGCCATCGGCGTCCCTTCGGTCCGCCACTCCCGACTGCTCGATATTGTTTATAGCATATACACGTCCTCAGATGGCACTCACCTTCCTCTCCGACACTTCACACACAATTTAACTACTTCAACTAAATCTATACCAAGAAAGCTTTCAGCTGGAGCTTGTCTCTTGTTTACTAGACGTTATAAGAGGAAATCCACCCTGACTCTCATCTATAGGATCATACGACAAAAGCATCTAAGATATTCAATGCCTGATTCATGCATCCTAGACATATACCTAATTTCTCAGCCTTACATCGCGTGATACCTGATTGGTCAGTTTTGTAATCTACGATAGCTACCAATCAGTCTCACCTATCTCCCCACGTTATTCGTGAAGTTTCTGTTAATATTGATCTTGAATCATGATGCAAGCACACACCATTCAAACAATCTTTTCTCATACGATTCTCCCTTCGCACGAAAGAACATCTAATTAGTCCTCGTACCACTCCTCAATACACTATTGATATAGTCAAATTAGAGATTTAGTAAATTTCGGGCTAAGGCAGTACGGCATATCTCTCGGATATACAAGCGTTGTTCGGTCAATGGTTGAACCCATTTCAAACGATTTTTTTTAAATTAAAGCATTTTGGAAAAGGCGAGGGTGTTTTTTACCTTTGACGTCGCCGACACAGTTCTTTTCATTCCGTCCTTTACTCCACCATCTACATCCAGCCCCAAGACTCCTCCCAAACGATCCTTTATGGAGGTTTGATCGTTTTCGCAAAAAAATGTTTTTTTGACCTTTGACCTTTGACCCTTGACCCTGACACAGACAGACAAACAAACTTCTTTTTTAATATGACCCTCCTTTCAGTCGAGGGAATTTCTTTCTTCTTCTTCGATAGATTGGAACACCTCTAAGATCAATTGTTTCCTCGATCAAAGCAGCAGCAACTGGTGTCTCACACTTTCTCGATCTTCGATTACGTCCATTATTCGACGAAGTAG